AAAAAAATGACTTGTGCCAACGACTGCAATACGCCAAGATAGTACTAGAGAAATTACATTGCAATACAGCAGCTTATTTTGTCTTTTTCCCTGAAAAAGAATGCATTGTTGCAGTCGAAAAAAAAACCATAGAAAAGAATTGATTTCGAGAATACAAGAAAGCATTTTCCAGCAAGCTTTTAAGAGGAATTTATTGCTTGCCACTTCCCCATAGAAATGAGACATGCCATCATTGTTGAACAGATCGCATGGGCCATAACAACTTTAACCAAACAAATGCATTCGCTCTATTGAAAGCTTACAAAGCGGCGCCCTGTATCACGCTTAGCAATAACTCTATCAAACTCAGACGTGATTTCAACATCCAGTTTAGAGGATTTTTAAACAATGAGTAAATACCGCAAAATGGAACATATCGAAAAAAGTATTTTCTTGAAATGGTACAGATGGATAAAGGATAAAACTTGATCAAATACTTAGATAAGTAGAGACCTCACCTCATAAAACATTCCTGAATACCTGGATCTGCCCAAAGACGTTTCATGACACTTGCCAGGTCTGGAGGCAACTCGCCCTAAAAGTTATACATTGATAATACGCTAACTGAATGGTACGAAATTCGCAACCAACTTCATCACATGTTTGGCTAATGCTGAAAAATTGTTGTGTGTCCTCGACGCTGTTCGGTGATTTGAAGTCGATCTTCAAGGTGCCCATGGCGCGAAGCAGAGCTACCATTGACTGTAATAGGCCGACTAATCAATCAGTATGAGATAAAGACAAGATCTCCATCTGCTATCATCACAATATCTGAATTTTTGAAATTCTTTACAACAGCTTCAAACAGCATTCTCAAGGGGTTCACGCGTCCGTGAGACTCCATAGTGGCAATCCGAAACGGAATCGGGCTTCTCACAACGGTCGCGTGAGTCTCGGACCAAAAAACTAAGATAAAAAAATCCTAAGAATCCTCAACATCGAAAAATACTCCTTCGGTCGCTTACAAAAAATCACGTTACAACGAGCAATTTTACTTTTGCACTATCTTGAAAGAGTAGTTTCACTTCAAAAATTCGTTCTTCGAATACACTACGTCTATCGTTTCAGTTAAAGATTTACGTTATATTCAACTCAGGGAAGTGAAAGCAGACCACAAAATGTATCCGCTTTCCTGCGTATGTAAAGTTTAGCTCAAATTATTCACCTGTATAGTGTTGCTGAACACAACCGGCCGATATTGTTTCCGTTCCTCGTCGCTATAGCCAGTTTCATGAATAATTTTCATCTGCTTAACGATGGTGCTTTTCCCTGATTCACCAGCTCCCAACAATAGTAGCTTCACTTCACGTGCTGCACGTTCTCCATCAGCTTTCAACTAAATAATTGTAATGACTACAAAAATATGATAATCAAAGAACGCTGAAGGGATTTTTCTAGAAGAACCCTTCTTGCCAATTTTCACCTACAAGGACGCAGACATTACTCATACTGGTTACAAGTAAACACTTCTCTTACTTTTTATTTCCAAACTGCCATTATCTTCTCATATTTACCAAATGTCTGGACATATTTAGAAATACATAATGAGGAGAAAAAAACAGCTCACGGGAACAGGTTCCATAACTCAAAACGATTCATAATTCAGGTACCAGGGGTATATCAAACTATATCAAACATCGGAAAAAACAGATATTTCAAATGAAAATTTTGTAAAAAACCATAGCTAGTTTAGCATTAGTGACTTTGAGCTGATTTTTAGAGCTAACGCATGCAAGTTTGCTCTCGACTGGTCAAAACATATAGTGAAAAAGG